CCTTGACAACTCTTAGGAGGCTGGAAAAAGGGTGGGTGTATATGGGGAGATATCAGGTCCTGAGGTTTGTTCCCAGAACTGCAGCAACTCCCAGGCCTCTAATGGCTTTAGTGTAAAAGTACTATTTTTTTCCTTTACAAGGAGAGTGCTCCCCCACCCCAACCCACTGATGCCGCTTGTGCAGCCTATTCAAGGGCACTTCTGTAGCTCCAGCCCTTTAGGATAAATACTTGGGGAGTTTAAACAATTGTTCTCATATTCTTTCTCTTTTTGAGTAGACTAATGATATGAAATCTTGTATAAGAAGAGATCTTAAAAATAAAAAAAACAAACAAACACAGTAAATGAATGAGTACTCACAAAAGGGTGGACTGGGACATTACCTTTAGAATCTTATCTCACATTAACCCAGCACAGTAAATGGGTTCTGAGTGGCATAAAGTCTAAATAGTAGAGACAGAGGATTCCCTATATTTATAAAATGGCGAAGTGCAAACTAAATCCCCTAAAGATAAGAGAGCAAGTAAAGAATATTAATCAGTAACCAAATTACATTACAGACAGATAAGAACTTCTACTAGCTAAGAATTTCTAGTGGCTGATGTCTTGAGAGAGAGAGCAGAAAGGACCCCAAGATTAAGAGTTCTTGGCAGCTGCTGGGAAGTTCCTATAATCCCTGCCATGTGTTCAGCCTGCCATAAGTAGCTGGGGCCTCTAGCAAAGTGAAATATGTCCCATCTCCAAACAAATTAAACCAAACAACAAAGACACAAAACAACAGTTAACAGAGACACCCTACATACAGTATTTATAGGTGTGCACAACCTACAGACAAGACTTAATAAATCAGAGTCTTTTCTATGGATCTTTCAGAAGATGTCTTATAGTGCCCCGGGACTTACAGCTAGAATGCAGCCCAGAGAGCTCCCGGGTGTGGTGGCTAGTGAACACCCATAAACAGCCTGTTGTTCACAGATTTTATCATATTCTGCTCTCCATAATAGATATTGACTGGCATCCAGAGTTGTTTTGGCCAAAATCTGCCAGTCCCAAAGAATCATGTGATAATTTTCAGACAAGGCATTAAGGAGTCCTTTTGTAAATGGACTGTTAGCTCCATTTTCTCTAACACTTTTCCTTATTTTTTTAAAGGTATTAAAGGAGAGAGGCTCATAAACTCCATTACTTTGTTGATCTTGAATAACTGGGCAAGCTAAAAGCTCTCCTTCTAACATGGCTTGCTTGACACAGGACCCCATAACTGAGGATCTAGTTGATGAGCCTTCCCACACCGGAGGCAGAGGATCAGAAAATAGTTCCTCCAGCGACGGGGCTTTAGGTATTACAGGCTCCACAGGCTCTGCTTCAGGAGGAGGGGGTGGTAGTAAATCCTCCTGTTGCTCTGTAGGCTTTTGATTTTCAATATGAAGTGGGCATAATGCAGCTCAAACAAGAGCCCACATAGTTAATGATGATGAGGACACTCGCTTTCCCTGGGCCTGATTTCTCTTTAGATTCCTGCCCACTTGTTCCCAGAGATTAAGGTCTAGCGTTCCAGCATCAGGGAACCAAGGATTATAAATTACAACAATTTTAATAAGCTTTTCAGTTCTTTTGTAACAGAGGCACCACCTACTTTTAATAACTGTTTCAGCACTGTGATATATTGCTGCTGTTCTGTGGACAACTGTTGTCCCATTATGAAATCTTAGCTGAGAAAGAATTATCTCAAACTTGGGAATCCCAAGCAGATTCCAATGACTTACCGTGCAGTTACTTTCATTTTCTTCCTCTTCGTTTTTGAGGGTTCCACCGCGTTTTATTGCATTCCTGGCTTCCTCACACAGGGCGCCAGCTGCCGGGGTTGACCAGCAGACCCTGAGCGACAGATGAATAGATTACTCTGACACATGTTTCTGTGAAAGAGAGGGCTAAGGGGCTGTTTTGCTTTAGGAGCAAAAAACCCTGTTTGCCTGCCTTCTTAGGCTTTTATTGTCACAACAGCTTGAACTGAAATTAACCTCTAGATACAATCAGCAGGGTAAGTATACTTGAGAAAGCATATGCTTCTACAAGGTCGAGTCTAAAAGACCAAACAGAGATTCTAGCAAAACACCAGGGGATCAGACTTGTTTGGAAAAGTCAAGGTAGGAGCTGCTGCTTTTAGCAAGTCCCCCTAAAGGCCCCCAAACTTTTGGACAATCCTCCTTATAGACATCTAACCAAGTCCTGTGTTTCCCCTCTATGTATACTAGAGGTCCGGCGCAAGAAGTCCTGCACAGGTTCAGTTTCTAGGCCTAGCCTGCTATCAGGGCCATCTTCCCCAGCTGCCAGCAGCTTCCCCACCCCCAACCGCCACCCACCTGGGTTCTCAGTTTGCATTGGGTGATGGGAGCCTGATGACTTGGGGGAAAGGGACTGAGAGGTTGCCCACTTGTGACACCAAAGCCCCTACCACGGGTCACCCTCTGTGTGTGGGGTGACAGGTGGGGCAGAGGCCTTGGCCTGCCACCACCTGAATCCCCTGCCACCCACCCCAGTTCCCTGTTCACCATTGGGCAATCAGAGCCTGAAGGCTGGGGGGAGAGACCAAGAGGTCAGCAGTTCCTCCCGCTCACCAGTCCCACCTCCACTACCACCAACCCTGGTTCCCCATACGCCATAGGGCGATGGGAGCCTGCTGTCCGGGGAGGAACCAAGAGGTCAGCCATTCCTGCTCGCTCACCTGCCCCACCCCTGCCACAGTTTGCTGTCTGTGTGTGGGGTGACCGGCAGGGCAGGGGCCTTGGCCTGGCACCACTTGCATCCCCCGCCACCCAACCCTGGATCCCCAGGTGATGGGAGCCTGTTGGCCAGGGAAAGGGACCAAGAGGTGGTCAGTGCACTTCCTAGTGACTGATTGAAGGGTCATTCTGGTCGTTTTGCCGTTATGGTCACTGGGCTTTTATTATATAGGATATTCCAGGCTCCAGGCTGAGGCAGTAGAATGAGCAAATTCTGTTTGTGGTGGGAAAAAGTTAATTTAAACACTAAGCCATGCAGTTTGGCTGGAGTGCTGGGCATGTTAGGGGAGTAGTAGATGACACTGTATTTAAGGAAGCCACTGAATGCCAGATTATGTACTTTGTGATTTGTTGGACAATAAGGAGCCATTAACACTTTTTAAAGAGCTTGTTTTAGAAAAATATTATATCTAACAGCATTACATAGAGTGAAGTAGAAAAAGATGGGGTAGGGAGACAAATTAAGTAATAAGGGCCTGAACTAGAGTATAAACAATGAAAAATGTTTAATTCTCACCCAAGGATCAAGAATATGTTGATTGATTTCAATTTTAGAGATACAGGGAGGGAGGGAGGGAGAGAGAGAGAGAGAGAGAGAGAGAGAGAAATTGATCCTATACACATCCCAACTCAGGATCAAACATATCACATAGGCATGTGCCCTGATCTCTGGAAGATGCTCCAACCAACTAAGCCCTCCAGCCAGGGCTAAACAATGAAACTTTAAAAAATGAAATTATCATGAGAAATAAAACAGTTACAGAAAATAGTAACAATAAGTACAATAACTAATGTTTATTGAGCACTTATTATGTACACTATGCTAAATGAATTGCATAAGCAGCTCAATTAATTCTCAAATTGACTAAAAGTTAGATACTATGATTAATTTCATTTTACCAATGAGAAAATTAAGGATCAGAGAGGTTTAGTGATATACCCAGGGTCACACAGCTATTGATTAAAACAGCAAGAATTTAACCCAGGTTATTCTGACTCCTAAACATACATTTCCCCCCATATACTAGTAGTATGCTATCACCTCCACTGGAACTTATTTGGAAGTGGAGAATAAGTGACAAAGAGTCAATGTCTTTGAGATTTTGACAGGATCTGGAAAATCGTGGTTAACTTAATAGTAATAAGGAAGTCTAGAGCAGAATCTGGCTTGCAGTTTTGAGATATGATGATTTTTGTTTGCTATGTTGATTTTTGTAGCCAAATAATTTGTACTCACTGAAATTATTTCATTTAACAAATACTGAGCACTTACTTTATCTTGGGCATTCCTTGGTTCTGGTATACAGTAAGTAAACAAAACACACAAGAATACCTGTCCTTATACACTTAAAATTTTACAGGGAAAAATAAATATAAATAAAATAAATAAGTCAAAACATAGAATATGTTATTTATGATTTATAATAGATAAAATAAATACTACCAAAAGGTTATGAAGAATACTGGAAGAGAGCTACAGTTTTTTAAGTAAGAAGATCAAGGAAAACCTCAAGGAAAGGTGCAATTTGGGTAAATATCTAAAGGAAGTGAGAGAGTAAAACAGGAAAATAATTTGGCTAAAGTGTTTTAGGCACCAGGAGCTGCCAATGCAAAGTGTTTTTTTTAAAATATATTTTTATTGATTTCAGTGGCCCCTAAATAATGGCTCAAGGACAAATGCTGGGTTGGCTGTATCTAAATCTATATGGGGGAGATTTTTTAAAATGTTGAATTTTGGGCCCTGCATATTGACTCAGAATCTCTGAAGGAGACACCAAGAAAGCTATGGAAAGCTGTATTTTTAAAAATGTCCTCAAATGAGTCTGATGATTGGTGAGGTTTGTGAAGCAAAGGTCTAAATTAGAGCCTCTCAAATGCTATTACATAAAAGAATGACCTGTAGTTATTGTTAAACTGTAGATCATGACTCAGCAGGTATGGGGGGAGGGGCAGGAGAGTCTTTTATATTTCTAACAAGCTCTCAAGAAATGCTGGTTCAGGATCACATTTTGAATAGCAAAGGGCTAGATTACCTCTGAGAATTCTTCTAGTTATACTTTGATGTGCTTATCGAAACAGTGGAATATCACCCTCACTCACATCAGAACTTCCTACTCAAACAGATTTTTCTACACATGGGCTTTTGTTTTCCTTTTCTTTCTTTCTCTTTTTTTTGCAAAAAGTGCAAGACAATAATATTTTTTTCTTCACTTGCAGCTCTGCCTTATCCACATTGATCATCTCTGAAGAGTTGCAGACCCACTGAGTACTAAAGCAAACCTTTCTTCTATGTGAGCCATAAAAAGAAAGCCTGACAAACACCTGTAAAGTGACGGCTATCATCATATGGAAATTAGAAAAACTGCTACATGAAATATTAATAATTGAAATGGGAGACAATCAGCTGTTGTGATGTCCGAGAAGGCCTTATAACAGAGTAAACAAAAGGGGAAAATTATAACAGCTTGTTATCTGTGCTTGCACATTTAGACTTCCATGTCATTACTGTAGACAAATCCAAAGCAAACATGCAGATAGTTCTTTGAAAATCATGTGTAGAGGTTCATACCTTTACAGTAAGGAGGAGGTTATTTTATTGTCAGTCTCTTTAACCCATTGATGGTTAATCTTTAAAAAAGAGCAGTAGTTGATTGTAAATTTAGGTTTTGAACTACCATTTGGCAAATAAACTTTCTCTGAGAAGAAAAATGCCTGCTAATAACACATGTGATGGGACAGATGGATACAATACAGATTTTCGATACTTTATCTATGCAGTGACATACACTGTCATTCTTGTGCCAGGTCTCATAGGAAACATATTAGCCTTGTGGATATTTTATGGCTATATGAAAGAAACCAAACGAGCAGTGATATTCATGATAAACTTAGCCATTGCTGACTTACTACAAGTTCTCTCCCTGCCACTGAGGATCTTTTATTACTTGAATCATGACTGGCCTTTTGGGCCTGGTCTCTGCATGTTCTGTTTCTACCTGAAGTATGTCAACATGTATGCAAGCATCTATTTTTTGGTCTGCATCAGTGTGCGACGATTCTGGTTTCTCATGTACCCCTTTCGCTTCCATGACTGCAAACAGAAATATGACCTATACATAAGCATTGCTGGATGGCTGATCATCTGCCTTGCCTGTCTGCTCTTTCCTCTCCTGAGAATAAGTGATGACACCCCAGGCAACAGAACCAAATGCTTTGTAGATCTTCCTACCAGGGATGTCAGTCTGGCCCAGTCTGTTGCCATGATGACCATTGGCGAGTTGATTGGGTTTGTTACTCCTCTTCTGATTGTCCTATATTGCACCTGGAAGGCTGTTTTATCACTGCAAGATAAATATCCTGTGGCCCAAGACCTTGGAGAAAAAAAGAAAGCCTTGAAGATGATTCTAACCTGTGCAGGAGTGTTTTTAATTTGCTTTGCACCTTATCACTTCAGTTTTCCTTTAGATTTCTTGGTCAAGTCCAATGAAATTAAAAGCTGCTTAGCCAGAAGGGTGATTCTGATATTTCATTCTGTTGCCCTGTGTCTTGCTAGTCTGAATTCTTGCCTTGACCCAATCATATATTACTTCACCACTAATGAGTTCAGAAGACGGCTTTCAAGACAAGATTTGCAAGATAGCATCCAACTCCATGTGAAATCCTCTGTGAGCAAACATACTACTTCTACCCTGACAACTGAATTATGCTAAATGAATGTGGCCTGAAATGAATATATATATATTCAGAATATCAGAACACATTTCTAATACTCCAAGCTACTGGGAAGTAATCACCAGAGGCACTAAGAACTTTTTAGTTATACTCTGTCTTACCTATATGAGAAATTCACATCTTTATAACAGAACCTATTTAGAGCATTATACTCTACCATCATTAATGTTGACATGTCCATGTAGTAATTTGTCACCAAGTCTTTAAGAATTGAACTATAATATTTCAGTGACAACTTATACACATATGCTCTCAACTAGAGTCAGCAGGTTTATCTATGAAACTCAAACACAAAGAGGTGATTACCTTGGTGTCATCATACGCACTTAGTTTGGACACTGAGTACTTAGAGTCAGTGTAGTTATCTACAGGGTGTCCCAAAAATGTATATATACTTTGACAGCTAATCTGTCTTTAAAATGAAATGCATTTTAATAAACACTGCCTTTATAATTATTCACAGTGAATGTATACATTTATGGGATACCCTATATTTATACTGGTAATTTCAGTTTATAGTTTATATTCTAATATTGTATTTTGGTTATATATTAAGTATGATGGACCATATATTATTCTGTGAAAATAAAGTGCTATAAACATGGGATCATTTCTATCTCCTGTGTATGATTACACTCTAGCATTTGAAGACTCAAATAGCTATTTCCTTCATTTTGGTGTCAATATGAAACATCATCTGTCACACTTGTTCATAGAATGAAAATCTGAACTTGGGTCTTTGGTATGTTAAAAGTAAGGACAAGAAACATTCAAATAAAATAACTTTCTATTACTATATAAGCTTCCATATTGAATCTACTCAGGGAAGATAGCTTGCCAACATTCATACAGTGTGACTCAAATTGCATCTATATGTCCAGGAGACAGCAGATAGGTGGCAATTACAGATATTTTTATAACTATTTACAAAGAACCTCTGGAGATTAATAAACCTGCCTAGTAAGAGAGTTTCCACTATGCTTCCAGAGTGATGTTGAGGTACCTCTGATAGGTTACTATATTTTCTGAGCCTATGGAAGAAGGAGGGTACTAATTAATCACTAAGCTTAGGCCAGAACAAGAAGATGAAGTAGATTTGGGTACACCTCTTAACACTTCACCACATTGTATTTCTTACTTTAAGATAGTTGGCAACTGTTGAGCCACATTCACATGCCAGAGTAGGGTTTGGAAGCAGCCAGGCATGTGGATTCTAGTCTTCAGTAATTTGTCTGATCCAGCTTTGCCTCAGACATACCATTCTGAGGTCTATACAGGTTATCTCCCTTCAGCTAGAGAAGTCAACTCTTACACCTTTAAAAAAAGTGCATAAGATTAATTTTAACACCATTGGACACCCATTACAATGCCTTGCCTGCTACCTGTTTGGTATAATATTCAGGAAATAAATGCAGGATATGAATAGTAATTAAACCTGAGGTCTAAATATAACAATACTTGCAAAAACTTCTAAATTTAAAAAATGCTCAACTCAAAAAATGTATGATACTAGTATGTTTGGTGGGGGGAACTAGTGTAATCAAAATTAATTATAATATCTGAAATGAATAGAAATTTTTCTAATGTTTTATCTGGACAAGTGTTAATTTTGTTTGTACTTTGTTATTAAAATAATACCCTATTAGAAGACTGACTTTGTGCTGCTAGCTGCAGTGTATTTATTTAACTCCTAATTATTAATTGTATTGTACATTTTTATGTGTTAAATAAGTGTTAAATTGTCTTTTTAAAAAGGGTAACTATAACTATGTCTGCTTTGTCTACCTTAAAGTGATTTATTTTTGTATATAATTCAGTGGTGTAATGGGATTACAAGTAAGAATTTGTGGGTACTTATAAAGGAAGAATGTTTTCTATACGAAATGTGTTGACTATTTTCTACATAAGCATGGATTATACTTCTTATTGTTATTTGGTGAGACAAATGATCTAATTTTATTAACATATGAATCTCACTTTGAACATATCTTTCTTTTTTTTTTAAGGGAACAAAGTGCTCACCAAGAGTTTCCCATGGTTACTCTTGAGTAACTGGACCCCAAACTGTGTGCATCAATCTGGAGATTTTATAATTGTTCAAAAGAGTGAAACAAAAAGCATAAATTGTTTTTCACATAAGCTACAAAAATTGTTTTCACATAGCCTTCTAAAGCCAACAAAACCAATTTTTAAAAATATTTATTGTTGAAAGTATTACATATGTCCCCCTTTTTCCCCCCATTGACCCCTCCAGCCCGCCCGACCCCTCCACCCCAGGCCTTCACCACCCTGTTATCTGTGTCCATGGGTTATGCATATATGCATACAAGGTCTTTGGTTGATTACCTCCCACCC